GCCATGGCTCATGGGCCCAGCCGCTCCGCGGCATGTGGGATCTTCCCCGACCGGGGCATGAACCCATGTGCCCTGCATCGGCAGGTGGACTCTCAACCGCTGTGCCACCAGGGAAGCCCAAGGTCTAGTATTTATGAACATTTCACTAAATATAATGATAAATGCTTAGAAGCCTCTTTTGAGGTTTCTTACTTTATAGCGAAAGCCAAACACTCTGCTGGAAATGGCAAAACCAATAAGGTGACAAACTAAAGTGCATTCCCCTGTCAGCAAATCCCACTGACAGATGCTTGAGAAACATTGCTGAAGATGTGAAGAAACAAGTATTAGACCAATTTATATGGTGTTGGAAGTTTGCTATTTAGTTGGATGAAAGAACAGCAGCTATTTCTAACATGTTTCAGCTCATGGTACTTTACAGATTCTGTTTCAATAATGAAATACATGAAAAACTTCTCTTTTTAAGAGGGCATTAAAGGTAAAGTGTATGGGAGAAGATACACTTACAACTGAAATGATCTTTAATAAAAAAATGATTTATGGAAAAACTGTGGAGGTGTAACCACTGAGAAAATGGCTGCTTTAATTCAAATAAATATAGGGTCTGGGGCCAAAGATTCTATCACAAACAAAATTGATTCACTAAATAATTCCACTGCAAGAATTTTCCATAAGGAGGTTGGAACAGAAGGGTACAGGATGTAGCCATTGTAGTTAGTTTTAGAAATATGAGTCCTTTGAAGTATGGGTGAATCTTTGCAATATAGAAAACTAGAAGAGAGCATATATTCTGCTGCCCCACAAGGTGGTATGCTGGCTAGCACCAGCTAGAGACCTGCACGCCGCAACTACAGAGCCGCGTGCTCTGGAGCCAGCTCATGGCAACTAGAGAGAAGCCCGTGCCCGGCAACGAAAGATCCCGCATGCTGTAACTAAGACCCAGGCAGTCAATCAATCAATCAATCAATCAATATTAAAGAGAAAGATTAACGTTCCAAATTTATTTTTTTTTGATAATAAAGGGCTGTAATAGCATGCTACCAGCAGATTAAAAATAAACTCACGCTCAATGTGTCTCTTTAAGTAAAATATATATTTTTAAAGGAGTTAAATGATAACTTAAAAAAAAAAGAAGTTTGTGCTGTGGAGAATGCATTTTGAAAAGAAATATTTGGACATTTTCCTATCGTTATGTCATTTTTTGCCACTGAAATAATGGAAATATGCCACATATTAAAATCTCTTGTATCTGAACACTTAAAACACTCGGAAATAGAAATTTCCAAACTGTTAAAAACTTTTTCCAAATAAAGAGTGTCAGGGCTTTGAACCCATTTGTTAAAAAGAATAATTCACATTAAAAGAAAATTGCTAACCAAATTTCAAAAATATTTGGCATATTTGATAGATAAGATAGAAAAATGAGAATCATAATTTAGTACAATCAATGATGATCTGCTATTTGGATTTTTTTTTTTTTTGCGGTACGCGGGCCTCTCACTGTTGTGGCCTCTCCCGTTGCGGAGCACAGGCTCCGGACGCGCAGGCTCAGTGGCCACGGCTCACGGGCCCAGCGGCTCTGCGGCACGTGGGATCTTCCTGGACCGGGGCACGAACCTGTGTCCCCTGCATCGGCAGGCGGACTCTCAACCACTGCGCCACCAGGGAAGCCCTGGATCTTTGAATCTTTGTATTACATCTTTTTCTGCCATATTAACCATTAATAAATAAATTGAGCTTAAAACCAGACCATCAAATCATGTTATCTCAAAGGATTAACCAATAACTGTAGTAAAGTAAAGCTTATTGCTCTTTAAAAAACTATATATTACCAACAATATCTTGTGCTGCTAAGAGGTTTTTGTATGATAATAAATAAAATTATTTTATAAATACTGCTAATTTTATGTTTATCGCCCTCTTAAAATGTCTTTTTGCGTATGCTTTATAATTACAGAATATGCTACTACAATCGTACATGTATAAAGTTTGTTAATAATGAACATACATACACTGGATATGTATGATGGAGTGCAAAATTTAAGAAAATAGATTGGAAATAGCTGTCTAGTTGAATTAACAAATGATTATAAAGCCTCTGTAGTCCGACAGTGCCTGGCACAATACAAGACTCACAGGAAGTATTCAAAACTTACTGTGACTCTCTGACCACCTCTGAATGAAAAATGTGGTAATTTATATATGTTTTGTGTGTATATATACTTCTCCCTCAAAATATGCATTTCATTTGGCGAGTAATTCTTCTGCCTGAGTATATTTGCGTAGAAAACCATGACCATAGAAGCAGTAGTGCGTAGTGGTTGCAGTTTCTGAATTTGGACCACCTGAGTCTGAACCTTGGCCTTATAATTTATTAACCATGTGACCTTGAATAGGCTACTTCTCTGTGTCCCAGTTTCCTTGTATGCAACAGGGCCTACCTCATGGCTTTGTGGTGAAGATAAATGAGTTAATATGTGTGAAGTCCCTTGACCTATGTTTGACATATGGAAAGTGCTCACTCTAGGCTACTTGCCAGATATATACATATCTATCTATCTATTTATATACATACACACTCAGTTACACACACACACATACTGGATATGTGTATATTTTGTGTAATTTCATTTACATTTCCTGTTCTCATTATGTATTTATTTATATATATTTATATTGAATAATAAGAATCTGTTATTAACAATATTAATAACCCACACTTATTTGGCATGACTAAATATTATATATTTAAATATATTATACATAAATATATATACATATAGACTAAAGACTAAATAAACTAGGCATTTGTTTAAGCACTTTACACGGATTATCTTGCTCATCTTTGGAAAAATATATAACATAACATACTTTTGTTATTCCCATTTTACAGATAGAAAACTGAGGTCCAGAAAAGTTAAGTAACTCACTTAAGTTCACACAGCTGGCATATGATAGAGTCAGGAAGTCTGGCTTTTTCTACTTCCCCACTGATTTAATAATGTTATTTACTATTAGGGGTAATAGTTCATAATCTCTTTATTTGCCTGGTGCTTAGTATTTTATAAAATACTTTCATATACATTGAGATTCATAACCAGCCTGTGAAGTGAGTGGGGCAGGATTATTATCCTCACTACTATAGGAGAGAAAACTGGTACAACTGAAACCATGGGTGTCCTTTGGAGGAAGTGTTTCTGTGTTACAAACAGCCTGGGTGCCTCTGTACCCAGGGAGTCATTTACCATAAATGTACTGAGTCCTTATAACATGTCAAACTCGGACAGGGGTGCTAGCGATACGAGCCACAGTCCTCCCCAGAAGCATCACAGCCTAGTGGGAGACCAAGATATGGAAACCAAGAATCACAGCACACAATGTAGTCTCTAAGGGAGATATGAAAAGAGTGCTTATGGAGCACAGAAGGAGGGACCATCTGTGCTGGGGAGGTCTTAGAAAAGGCAAGGGTGGGGCCTTTCCTGGAAGAAAGAATGCGTGTGTGCGAGTGTGAACCCATGTTTGTGACCATGACCATGTGTCTAGGTGGATCTGAGTGTGTACCTGTTTACATGGTCTTACTCATGGGTTAATTTATGCACATGCAGGCTGTTAAGTGTGAAAGCAGAAAGCCTGAACCTAAAAGAAAGTGTGCTTGGATTCACACACGCCATAGCGGAATCTGCCCTGCCCTGGATGGTCTCCCCATTTCTCCTTCCTCCCCCTAACACCGGGGTAACCAGTTGCTTGCCACTCTACCAGTTGCCTCATGAGCTATGGTGATTAGACCCACCAGGTTTTCAATCTGTCGGTCTGAATGTGTAGTGGTCTAACAGAGCCCACCATCTTGTGTAATTGGGGGTGAAGAGTACAAGTACCTGTGGGTGTATATCTGTTTGTATGCTTCTGGCTATGTGTGAATGCTTAGCGTTGACTGCTCCTAGCCAGACTGGGAAAACCTCCCCTCTCCCTTCATCTTCACTATCTTGGGAGTTCATACACTCACCTGTTTCCCTTGCCATCCAAATGTGGCTGGCTTCTGCCTTCACTTAAATATCCTGGGATATGTAAATATACTTCTGTGCCAGGACTGGACAGAGGCAAGGCTGGAAAATGCTGGTGCCCATTATCTGTGGAGGCACTCCGTGCTCTCCCCCATTCTGGTCCAGGACTCTCCCACAGGATGACAAATGCGTGCAAAGGCAAACAGGAATGGTGACAGCCATGAGGAAACCAGAGTGTCACTCCTAGGGGCGAGCTGGTCAACCCCCTCCCCTGATGATAAAACCCATTTTTAAGGCAAAATTGATCAAGGAGGGAAAGCGAGGACTTTTCTCTCCACAAGTGCTACCTCAGGGACTGGGGAGGTTGGGGGGTAAGGCTGCAATACTCTTTATTTCTTTTAAACTTGCACAATCAAAAAAGCTAAAATGATTACAAATAATATGCAATTGATGGTGACTAACAGTATCTCTATAAAGTGGCCCAATAGTTGAACTAGATTTTCCCTTTTGTCATAAGGCATATAAATTCAGGGCTGTGGGGTCATGTAAGGCAAAGGTATTATGTGCTGGAATACACTGATGATTTGTGAGTGTTTATGTCCTGGCCCAATGCACTGCCACACAGCTAAATATTTGCATGATAAGATAAGCAAGAATGAACTGCAATAATCAACACATGTAGCATGCCATATTTTAAGTTTAATGAATGAGTGGGGGAAGAGAAAAACAAACATATTCAGAAAGGTAGAATGGTCTCATATATTGATCCTTGAAATTACAATACCTGGATTCTGTTCTCAATTTCAGCAATGACTTAATCTATTGAAAGGTTCTTATCATATATGGGAAAATTAGTCCAGTGGCAGGATATCTCTCAAAAATATGAATATGCTTAATCAAGCCTTGTTGAAGTGTCTTTTAAAATGTAAATGATTACAAATAAATGTTAGCTGTTGCATATCTGAATATATTTATTGTAGCACCATACATAGTATATATTTCCATGTTCTGGACACAAGCATTATCCTAAACTTTAAGGGAAGATATTGGTTTTATAATGTGCCAGGAGAATTTTTCCATAGTCAATATGTTGTTTATTTGCACTTAAATATTGCATCAATAATCTGAAAAAGAGAAATAACCTGATTATGGCTAGAGCTTCTGATTAGAGGCTAAGGTTTCTATCATGGACTGCTTTCAACTGTTATATTTTATGGCACAGATTCAGTGGGAATCTGATCTGCTAAAATATTTGGGCTGTGAAAACTCCCACACTGTGACAGATGTCAAGTCCAATTAAGTGACTCATGTCCAGGTTTCTGTCCAATAGGATTTCCCATTAAATATCAATTTAGGGAAAAAAATTCCATCCCCCTTCTTAAGCCTTTATCTCTTCCACCATCTCCAGGCTGAATCAATTGGTACCAGGAGAGCCAAGAAGCCACACACTCATCTCTGCCTCTTTGCTCTGGCTCTCCCACCCTCTCGCGTCTTTCTCCGCTTCCCTGTCACTGTTACTCCGGGAGACGTTCACTTTTCACCAACCTTTCTCCAAACATCTCCAAGCCACTGACTATATATATTTTGCTACAAGGTAAAGAAAGGAGGGGGTGGGGGTGGGAGATGTAACCAAGCCTTGAAAGACTTTGAAACTGGAAATATGTGTCTGTTTATACAACATACAAGTAAATGAGGGAAGAGGAAGAGGCAAGCTAAGCCCCGAGTTACAGTATTGTGTTCCTGAGAACCGGGGAGACATCAGCTGAACAAAGCCTTATCTCAAAAAAAAAAAAAAAAATTACTTCTGAGCAAGATTGCATCTCTGCCTTGCACTTCCCAGTTTCTGCTCAGTCGTATTAAGGGAAGGAAAGGCGTTCTACAGGAGCGGAATCTTATCTTAACCATCTTTCTTATTGATTCTTCCGCTATTAGAAAGTGGAAGAATCAGCCCTTTGATGTGATTGTGTTTATCTCTGCATCTCTTTTGTTATTTATAGAGACCTAGAAGAGGAAAAGAGACACGAGACTTTTCAACACATCGTTTTAAAAAAAATCAACAACGAATTTCCCGAAATGTTTGAGAACAATTAAAAGGAAAAGCCGTTTTTGATCTATCAACTAAGTGAACAATCATTCATATCGTCCACATCCTGAGATATTATCGTCCCTCGCTGTGGACACCAGCGAGATGACAGCTGCTTTTTCATTTTTGAATGTAATAAATATTTGCTGCTTCTAATATATTTCGGAATTTCTCCCTGCTATTCCCTGGGATTTTAACTCTAAAAGATTGGAGAAAAGATTATCGAAAAGGCTTTTACAAGGTAAGCCTCCTTTAAATGATTTTTTTCCAGCTTGGAACTAAGTTAGATGATTCATATCGCATTTATAGATGTGTTTCAGTGAATGGCTGAAAAAACCAAAATGCATACACGACATGCTATTTACGAATATTTTAAAAAGATATCTGGAGAAGAATTTATCATGCTTCGAGGGCAAGCCGGGAACTTTTTATCCGAACTACAACTATGTTGTGATTTATTGTGATTTTCCATTACTCGCCTATTTATTTATACCCTTTCAAGGCGAAGGTGTAGCTGCAAGTTGTTCTACTTATAAACGTATCCGTGAAAAGCCCACAGGGAGTCACATGTATTTCACTTGGAGCGTTTGTTTTTATTTTGCCTTAGAGGACTTGTTTTCCTCACAGGGAAATGAAAGCTGCCTTGGAGCCAAATTCGCTCCTAAGCAAGTGCGGTGCTGGGAGCGGAGAGCACAGCCCCCGCTTTTGTCTAGGAGCAAACGCTGCCGCACGTCGCCGACTCGATCTCTCTTCCAGCGAGCATCCCTCCAGCGGCACACTAGGGCCCGGGGCTCGCAGCCTGGTCCTCCCTCCCGGTGCCCGCGATCGGTGCGCTTAGCCCCCGCAGGTGCCTCCCCGCCTGCCGGACCCTTTCTCGAAGCCCGAATTTCCTCGAAGCCCCACGGCTGGGAGCGGCCCCCTCCCCGGATGGGCGCGATCGGGGCTGGTCCTCCAGGCGTCCGGGAGGAGCCGGGCAAGGAGGCCTTTCTAGGATCGCATCCTTAGAGAAAGGCTGAGGACGGGCTAGCTCGGCCTCGGCCAGGCCGCCCGGGGACAGCTGAGGGCTCCCGACTCCGGGCCCCAGAGCACCAAACTTTGCGGGCGGGGATGCAGCTCGGGCCGGGGCAGCAGGCGCGGCGCCCGCCTTTCCCCGGCCCTTCCCTTCCCTCCCCAGCCTCTCCTTCCGCAGCCACCCGGCCGCCGACCTATTCCCGGGAGGTGGTCGGCAGACTGCGGGAGCATTGTCTTATCCCACGTCGCCGTGTCCCTAGGTCCCCGATGTGTGTGGCTGTCTGCGTGACAGATGGTGCTTCGGGAGCCTGCGAGGGCATGAGAGTCCATTTGCTGTTGAAAGGAGCCTCCACGTTTGTTTAGTCATCTATTATTTCGGAGAAGCGCGAGGGGTACGGGGAAGCCTTCCCGCTCCGGGACGCCTGCTCTCCGTCCGCGCTCGGGGCTGGGTTCCTCTGGAGTCCCGGCCGCCCCGCGCCCCAGAGCCGCGCGCAGCCCGCGGGCACCCAGTTCTCCGGCTGCTTCGCCCCAGGCCCTCGGGGCGGGAAGCGCGCTCCGCGTCTCCCCGCCCCCCCGCAAACCCCAGATGGATTCGTCGTTCGGATTCATTCGTTTGTCAGGGTCGGAGAAGAAGTAAGGGAGGCGGAATGGCCGAGTTGTATTTAGCCGAAGGAAGCACAAAACCCAGGAGCGGCCTCGCAGGCCTGAGGTCGTTCCCCGGAGCAGGCCCGCAGGCCGGTGTGGGTCTCCTGCAGGCCTCGGTGTCAGGTCCAGGATGCGGCCTGGGCCAAGGAGAGGCCTCGCTGGCTCCTGAGCCGGGCGGTGGCGCAGGGCTCGGCTCTCGGGCCTGCCTGCCTCGGCGCGCTCCCACCCCGCGGGGTCCGCTCCTCGGAGCTCGCCGTCCTGCCTTGGGGAGGCGGCCCGGGCCGCGCGGAGGCCCGGCAGGCTAGGCCCTCGCCCGCTCTCGCTCCTATCCAAAGAAGACCCCCATTCCTTTTATTGATCGCTTTTCTGACTCCCCCTCAGTTTCCAAAATGATGCTGAGTCCAGACCAAGCCGCCGACTCGGACCACCCCAGTTCGGCGCCCTCGGACCCGGAGTCGCTGGGTGGCGCGGACGCCAAGGTGCTGGGCAGCGTGTCGGACCTGGAGCCGGTGGAGGAGGCCGAAGGCGACGGCAAGGGCGGCAGCCGGGCCGCGCTCTACCCGCACCCGCAGCAGCTGAGCCGCGAGGAGAAGCGCCGCCGCCGGCGAGCCACGGCCAAGTACCGCTCGGCCCACGCCACCCGCGAGCGCATCCGCGTGGAGGCCTTCAACCTGGCCTTCGCCGAGCTCCGCAAACTGCTGCCCACGCTGCCCCCGGACAAGAAGCTGTCCAAGATCGAGATCCTGCGCCTGGCCATCTGCTACATCTCCTATCTCAACCACGTCCTGGATGTGTAGGGCCGGGGTCGCGGCGCGGGGCCGCCTGGCCGGGAGTGGGTGAAACGCGGCCAACCCGGGCGGCCGCCGCGGCGATGGAGGAGGAAGCGGTGGCGCAGCGGGACGGCCGCCGCCACGACCTTGGACCGGGTAGGAGGCTCGCACCGTGTTCTCTCCGGTCGGCAGGGCGACTCTGGAAGGTTTCCGACTCCAGAAGGGTGGGGTTGTCTGGCGAGCCCTGGGGCTTGTAGGGAGCATTTTCCAGGCAAGGCGAACCTCCTGGAGGCATCGAGATGAGTGGCCTCCAGGCCTCCCCTCCACGTGTTAGGATCCCTTTAGGGGTTGTTGCTTTAGCTCACTGGAGACTGAGTTCTCCTACATTCATCTCCCACAGATCTTCATGTTTTGAAAGAATGAGGGCAGAAGCTCAGAGTCTGGGCTTCTAACTTTAGACTATCTGGATTTTTTCTAACTGACAAATCACCAAACATCATGAGGGGAGGGGAGGGAATCTCCTCCAGGGCAGAGATTCAAGACACAGAAAGGTGGAACAGGAAACTTTCTGATCCGTTGTGAAAAGAAAGATTATATTAGAATCCAAGTAAAACAGACAAGCCTAGAACATATGGTAAGGTTAAAAAGATACATTGAGAACAAACAGATATTGTGGGAAGATTTGAGTTTGGTGAGATTTTTAAACCCCAAGGTCTGATGCTAATGTAGACAGGAATATCCATATTTAAATGGAAAATTTAATATCTGATTGCTTTTTCAGGCGAAGTGCCCCTTTATATATCCAAAAGCATCTATTTGTGACCTTAAACATGTGGACCCATAGGTGCAGTTAGAAAAGACAACCTATTTTTATTTATGTTAGAACGAGTATTTTTTTCAAGACACTTATTTTTCAGAGTGGTGATAATTTTACTTTGGACACTCTGTGCCAATTTATTTATAGTCAAGTGTTTACACTTTCTCCTGTGGAATAATTATGTCTAACTTTTTACATGTTTGTTGAGATTATACTGTGGTCTTTCTTTTTGCTCTAATTATATTGCACTTGTATAACAAATTTCCCACATCTCCCTGTTTCTAAGCATATTTTATATATTAAGATGTTTGTTCCTGAAAGGTTCTTTTGTTGTGAGATCAGCAACACTAGCACTTCACTGTTATAGTTTTTTAAAAAAAGTAAGTGTTGTTATCCTTATCTGTAGTTATGTCTGAAAAGTACTTTGCAAACCGTTTATAAGGAGAGTAGCTTCTTTGTGTGTGTGTGTGATGTTTGTGTGTGGGATGATTTTAGGAAATTAAGTTATTTTCCTAAAAAAAAAAAAAAAAAGAATTCAGAACTACTTTCCTCTGTGACAACCAAAAAGAAAAGTCTATAACCTGAAAATGTTTCATGTTCTCAGCTGTGAAACTCTTAAAACAAGGAGTGTATTTTAGAGACAAGGGAAAAAAAAAAAACCACATCTGCTATCCAAAGAATTTAGTCTTTTTCAGGGTTTTTTTGTGTCTCTGTTGCTTTATATAATGCAATATTTTGTAGTGAAAATAGATATAATCTGGTTTCTATCTGACGAGTTTTTCATATCTCATGAATGGTGCGCTGTTTTGCATATAAATAAAGGTATCAAATAAAGTCATCTCCTTTATTTTAAGCATACTGTCTAAAAATAATGAACATACTGGCTGAGCAAGAAACATCTTAATGGACTCAATTCCTCAGAAAGGAGCTAAAATTAGAAAACAACAAAAACAAAACCAAATCTTGACATGTACTGAGATATTTGATGCTCTCCCTAAAGTTGGACGCTGATCAGTCTATAAATAGATGCCCCACATATGATGGTGACAGAAATCATGTTTCTCTCAATGAAGAAAAGAGATTATCAGTGTTTATATAAAAACATTGCTTGAATCATAGATTCTTTTGCTTTAAAAGCAAATTCAGTAACTAACCCAATCTCTTCAAATTAGAGTTGGGAAACTGGGGTCCAAAGAGTTTATATGCCCTGCACTAAGTCCCATGGCTACTTAGTGAAAATGAGAAGACTCCAAGATGATGACTCTAAGTCCTCATGGCACTTATTAAGAACAAGGTGCATTTCACTATTGTACTATAGCACTCGGACATCTCATCAGGACATAGATTTAGGACATGACATCTGCAAGCAAGAAAAGACAACTAGGGGCTTCCCTGGTGGCGCAGTGGTTGAGAGTCCGCCTGCCGATGCAGGGGACGCGGGTTCGTGCCCCGGTCCGGGAGGATCCCACATGCCGTGGAGCGGCTGGGCCCGTGAGCCATGGCCACTGAGCCTGCCATCCGGAGCCTGTGCTCCGCAACGGGAGAGGCCACAACAGTGAGAGGCCCGCATACCACAAAAAAAAAAAAAAAAAAAAAAAAAAAAAAAAAAAAAAAAAAAAAAAGAAAAGACAACTAAACCCTGGACCAACCTGGAGATATGAAGAATGTTATCTACAAAAGCCTATACTTAATATAAAAATGTGGAGTACTCTGTCTATAAGCAGAAGACACGAATAACTTAAAGACTATCTATATGTGTATATGTACACACACATAGAGAGAATATTATCAACTGTGAGTCCATATCACACCACATCTCTGGTTGCAAAGTAAAAAACGCAACTGTGTGGATGCTTGGTTTTATAGCTATAAAATATCTGGGATTCTGAGAATTTTTCACTTTTTCTTGTAGTCAGGTTCACAGATACCTGATCAGGGAGACTTCATTCTCTTCTTCAGCTGAGGAGAGCACTTCCTAGGACATGAAAAATAATGGTGGCTTCTTTGGCCTTGTATCTGGACCAAGTTGTGGTCCCTGCAGCAGTGGTTAGTTGCTTGGCCTGCACACACACTACCTTTGGACTGAGTGTTTGCAGGTCTCCCTTCCCACCTCAAGGAGTGTGGTGAGGTAGCTACTCCGCGTCCTAATAGCACTTCTCTGTTGTAGGGCAGAGAAATCGGCCCTGCTCCTTCGCCAAGGAAACGAAGTCAACTTCTAGCCTCCCTTTTCTGGTTTATGAGCCCAACTTCCAACTGACCAACACAGTCCTCCCTCTGACACCTTGGAGGAGCCTATTAACTCCCCTCTCTAGACTAAGTCCCTTGCCCTTGGAGTTGGATGTAGGGCAGACGTGGACAAAGGGCAACATCCCTTCCCAGGTACACAGCCCACGGGATCTCAGGAGAGGATCTTGGCAATGTCACTTCAAATCCGAGGCTTGTGAGTAGCCCCCAAAAAGAAGGGCAACACTGTGGCGCTCTGCTGGACCAGAGGGTGACTGGCTGCTCCCTAGCACGTGGCAGGGACTCTGAGTACTCAGCCATACGTAAGGGAGTAGAGTCTTCTCCGAATAATGATGATGGCGATCACTCAGTCTGACATTCAGCAAATAGTTATTGAGGACCTACTGTGTACCAGGCATTGTTCTAGGTGCTAAAAATAGAGCAACAGATGAGACAAAGTCTACTGGAGAAGAACAGTACACTGACGACAATAAATAATAGTTAACTTCAGGTATTGCTCAAGGCTACAAAGAAAAATAAAGCAAGGTAAGGAAATAGAGAATGGCAGCCGAGGGTGCTGGTGGAGGGTATTATTTTAGATAGAGCTGTCAGGAAAGGCCTCTCTGAGGAGGAAACCTCTGAGTAGCCACCTAGCTCTGCCTAACCAGCAGCCTCCACAATTGCTGCCCCTCGTGCCCTTTCTTCTAGCATCCTGTTAACCTGACCTGTGCTCAGGCCACCAACACAGCTCTTGGGGATCACTCGCCATTCCCCACTGGCAGCAGCCTCACCCTTCACCCCCAGCTTGCTCCCTCTGTAGGCAGACCTGGGACCACAGTTCCTCCAACTACTCCTCACCCCTTTTGCTCTCTGTCCCCACTGCCCAGCAACTCAGGGCATTGCTGCTCCCCAGAAAACTCAGCCCCACCTGGCCCAGCTGATAAGGACATCTGGGCTGCATATTTCTGTGCCCAAATGTCCCCTCACATCGGCCACTGTTCGGAGACGTCCAGAGAAAAGGGGCAAAGGCTCTGGGCAAGGGCTTTCCTGGTGGCGCAGTGGTTGAGAGTCCGCCTGCCGATCCAGGGGATGCGGGTTCGTTCGAGTCCTGGTCCGGGAAGATCCCACATGCCGCAGAGAGGCTGGGCCCCTGAGCTATGGCCGCTGAGCCTGCGCGTCTGGAGCCTGTGCTCCGCAACGGGAGAGGCCACAACAGTGAGAGGCCCGTGTACTGCAAAAAAAAAAAAAAAAAGCTCTGGGCAAAAAAACCCCAAACAAAAAACCCTTCCCTTGCACGGGGAAGAGAACGGGAGGAGCAGCGGCAGAGGGTGTGGGTGGTGGGATGCAACGGGAAAGGAAGAGCAGGCTGAGGTCAGGGGAAATGGGTACAGAAAGAAATGAGGCTGAGTGGAGGTGGAGGGCTGGGGCCGGGAATGCCTGCTTCCCACATGAACCCTGTTCCTGGGGCTTCCTCCAGTGGCCCTGCCCCTTGAACAAGCATCGCCTGATGCTATGATGAGGTTAGTAGACAGAGCCGACCTCTGTAACACTGGGATTTATCCAGTTCCCATCGCTGCTGTCTGTTTCTGGATGCCTGTCTTCCTCCCAAGGAGGTTCAGGGCAGCAGGAGTTAGGGGAGTGGGGACAGCTAATGTGAACGTGTGCACAGCTGATACACTTTTTCTGGGCTTAGAAGGGCTATCTCATTCAGTACTGGTAGCGGTAGAAATATTAATAGCTAACATGTATTGAGTGTATACTATGTGCTTACCGAGTTAAGTGCTTTGCAGGCATGATCTCATTTAACTCACAACAACCCAATGCAGTAGGTACTTTTGTCTCCATTTAACATATGAGGAGCTTGAGGCTTAGAGAAATAAAATTACTTGCCCAGGGTCACAAAGTCATGTTTGTCAGTTCATCAAAACCCCTGCTCTTACCCATCATACTCCATGGCTTTCCTTTGCCAGAGGGACGGCGGGGCCATGCACATACCCCCACCCTTAGCTCCCGTACCCCATCTCTCCACCCATGTGATCAGGGGAAGCTTCAGATCAGACATACCAAAGGAGTGCAGGATCTGCAGTGCACGCACCAGCTACCAAACCAAGGGGCCACGTGGAGGCTAAGACTGAGCCTCTGTTCCGCTTGCCGGGTCAAGCATGTGCCCTGACTTGGGGCTAAACTCTTGGGAAGACACTGCGGGCTAGTGGCAGTCCTGAATCAGCCCCTCCTGCAGGAGTCTGGCGCTGACACTGTCCATGGTACTGCTCTTCACCACCACACGGGTGAGCCTGACTCCTCAGCCTCCCCCATCCACATGCCTCTGCACATCAAGGCCCATCCTCACACTGCACACCATCCCTTGCCTGGACATTTTTCTTGACTCTTCAATGCCTATAAAAAAATAAAACTCCAATTCTTTCTCTGGGCACAGAAATCTTTCACAACCTTGTTTCAGATCCTCTCTAGCATCACCTTCAGCCACTTTCCCTGAAGTTAAGTGTTCCTGCCAAATTCAGATTTCCTCACTTCCCTGGAGATGCCTGTCCTTTATAACCTCTTGTTTTCTCTCTGCCTAGAGTGCTCTCCTCCAACTTTATTTTTGCCCAGAAAATTCCAATGATGCCATTGTCACCCAACTCAAGTGTAACCACTTTACAAAACTTTCCTCAATTTCTTTGGGCAGCGTGAGCTGCTCTGCTCTCTGAATCCCAGGTACAATCATCATTTTGCCAGAACTTATCTTTCTCCCATCCCTGTGTTTGAGACCTAAAACTCTGGGGCCAGGTTCAGACCCTGGCTCCAACTTACTCTAAATGTATGATGTTGGGCTTCCCTGGTGGCGCAGTGGTTGAGAGTCCGCCTGCCGATGCAGAGGACACGGGTTCGTGCCCCGGTCCGGGAGGATCCCACATGCCACGGAGTGGCTGGGCCCGTGAGCCATGGCGGCTGAGCCGGCGTGTCCGGAGCCTGTGCTCCGCAACGGGAGAGGCCACAACAGTGAGAGGCCCGCGTACCACCAAAAAAAAAAAAAAAAAGTATGATGTTGAACATGTGACTGTATTTCCTTCCTTTTCAAATGTGTGGTATGGGACAATGCATGCACCCTTCTCAAATGCTGCTGTGAGGCTTCCATGGGATAAGGCAGAGTGTTTCCAGAGCAGGAAGAACATAGTAAGTGCTTGATAAATGTGAACGATTATTATTAACTTTGTATTTATAGTATGCATAGGAAGCTGTATGAGAGAAGCTAAAAATAATAATACATTCATAATTCATTTATGTATTCATGATTCGTGGTCTCTACCAACTGTATTCATCTGCATATGACACATGATTAACTCTACAGAAAGTCAGACAGTAATAATCCCTGTCCTATAAAACAGAAAACATCATAGGTAAGTAAATAGGAATCCACAGAATAGACCATAAACATACGCATCTAAAGTTATGTACAGGTCTGAGAATACCACTCCACTCCATGTGGGAGGCCTGGCCAATGCCTTTTCTTTTATCATCTTGGCTTTTCCCATCGCACTTAAGGCTGTGAACTCCGGATCTCCTACTAACTAGCTGTGGCCTTGAAAAATTACTTAATTCTGTGCCTCAGGTTTCTCACCTGTAAAATGGGGGGCGGCGGTGATAGTAGTACCTACCCTGTAGCTTTATTAGGAGGATTAATTAAGTTAATTCACGTAAATCACTTAGAACCTATCCAGTGCACCTTCAGATCTCAATAGCATTTTCTGTATTAGCTCTTATGGCAGATAACTTTTTCAAAAGTTAAATAGTTAAATTCTTTTTGAGGTAATGAAGAGAGAAATTGTTGAAATTTCCTAATGAATCTTGCTAAGTATTTCTGGGTCAGGAGGGAGGTTCCTCATCTCCTTGCTAATCATTCCAGAAATATACCAAGAGTAGGGAAGAGTTCATAATGCCATTTGGATCATCGTGGATGGACCTAGAGATTATAATACTAAGTGAAGTCAGACAGAGAAAGACAAATACCATATGACATCACTTATATGTGGAATCTGAAGAAATGATACAAATGAACTTATTTACACAACAGAAATAGACTCATAGACAGAAAACAAAC